CTTCCCAGAAAATAGATGTCTTCGAATTTATCAGTTTTAGGACAGATTTGTAAATTTCCGAGACAACAGATTTTACGTTCTACGCTCTACGTGAACAAAATTGGAGCGAATCGATGAACCTCTTCTCGTCTATTTCGTTCCTCAACTTCACGCATTTTGGCCGCAAACTCTCGTTCCTCTTCCTCGCGTTCTTCACGTCGTCTTTGTTGTTTTTCCTTCAGAACCCTCAGCTCCTCCTCTACTTCCTCCTTTTCTATTCGTCTCTTCTCATAATATTCGGCCATTCGAGCCTCTTCCTCTTCCTCATGACGCTTCTTGGCTGCCTGTTCATGAGATCATATCATAATCAATGTCATGATGAAGTGATAAGGACCCAGCTCGAATGAATCAAAATATCGATTTAAACATCTGTAGTCAAAGTTTCAAAATATTGGTTTCAATCTTACGGCACGTAAATATTTGAAATGAAATGCAGCTAGCATTTCATTGCTTATCACCCAGAAAAAATTTGACTTGTGAAAAAGTTGATGAAAACTGTAAATTATGGAGAATTTAGGAAATAAGTCAATATGAAAACAAATTTTGTCACTTCATCATTTCTTTCCTCAAATATTCGTTAAATTCACTCCTCATTCAATAACGANTTTTTAAGATACCAGCATAGCTTGAGCAGCTTCGGTGAGAGCCTCGGGTTCTTTCTCCTCTTTTTCTTGAGGTGCACGTCGTAATCTTTAAAGTAGAAAGTTTATGAAATGATTTGAAAATTACAAATCCCAAAAATTGAACAATTTTTTTTGGCAATGTGATATCGTTGAACGATTCATGAACGGAATGAAATTAACGACTTGTTGATTCACTTGAGTTCATAATGACCAAGTAGAAGGCTCTGAAAAACTGGAGCTTTTCTGAAACTCCCTCAGTTTTTCCAGGGAAATATTAGCTATTTCCTGCATGGAATAAGTGATATGTGTTCCATCCGGAATACTGAGATGAACTTCAATATGCAACAGAGCGTAACTTACTTTGCTTCTTCATGACGTTCTTCCTCGCGACTGAAATAGAATTAATTTTACGTTTTCACTCTCAGAACACATCATTTCCGCTCATATTTAATAATCTGCACGACACTAATGATGTTGTTTGCAAACTCATCGCACTATCATCTTCATTATCTAATGAAAAAAATTGTCTTTCCCTTCCGACACAGTTCAATGAACCACCAATTTCGAAACCACATAATGAAGTATTGCTAAGTTGATCGAGCACCTCTGGGATGAAAGTCATTTCACTGAGAGAATGCCTGATGTAATAGTGTGGAATGTGTACTGGATAATTAGTGCTTATGCTTTTAAAATCCATTCCAGTGTTTAGTACTAATCGCTCACTCTAATCTATTCATCTCTACCAGACTTCTGTCACATCAGATTGAAATCATGTCTGCAGAATGGAT